TTTAATGCATTTAGGCCTTGTTTTCTTGTTAATGTGCCAGCATGTTCTTGCAATGGGATATTTTGTTGATCTCTTGTAATGCCTAATTGCATAGCATAGCTTATAGTGTTGTTTTTTGCTTTGTACAGGACAAGACATCCGTTCCCTATGAACCTGTTTATAGCGATGCACATGCAAGGTAGATCTTTGTGATTATTTTCAGTATCATCACTTCAATGTTGGAAAGAGTTTTCTATTTATGCCTTTAGGACCTGCCTGATGATCAATATCTTATAGTTGTGGTTTTGGCCAATTGATACCTGTGGAAAATGGTCTCAGATACAGAGGCTTGTATTTTATTTTATTTTATTTTTTTATTGTAGAACCTGTGATATCATTTGAATCTAATAAATTATCCTCCTTTTCTTTCAATTAATGTTCTTTGAGTATTGTTTTAAAACCTGTTGAGTGGACACCTATAGTAGTAAAAAGTAATATTTTTACAATCAGAAAAGCCTTTCGATGTCAGAGGCCAATGGAAAAATTATCTTGCTTGAAAACCTGTGTTTGTTTAATCATCGTCTAAAAATGATCAAATCTGAATTTGAGATTTTTAGATATTTTAGAGTTATGTCACTAAAGATATGCCAGTTTATGTCTTCTACAAATTTATTGTGAATGTATTTACTTATGCGCCTATTCTGGCTTTCAGTTTTCTTTCTGAGTACAGATTTGATGTCTCAAAATTGGAGCCCTTGGTGGCAAAGGTGTGTGACTGTTAATTTTCAATGTTTTAACCAACTACAAACTTTTAAACTCATCAAATTGGATGCTAATACTCTATTGACCAGCAGAGATTATCTTGTTAGGCTGTTTTTTTTTTTTATTTCTCTTGGCATTTCTGCTTTTAATAACTTGTTAGATATATTTTGCAGCCTCACTCTCCTGATAAGCGTGCTTTGGCAAGAGAGTGCAAGGATGTCAAAATTGACAGAGTTTATATTGGATCTTGTACTGGTGGGAAAACTGAGGATTTTCTAGCTGCAGCCAAAGTCTTTCTGGCTTCAGTAAGAGCTATGTTACCATTTTCACTCCTTAACTCTATGAGAATGAAACTAAGTACTAGACTAGGGAAGGAGAAAACAGAAAAATGAACCAGAAGGGTGAGAGCAGTTGATAACTAATCATTGTTCTGATCAGATAAACTTTCTATTGGTTTGGAATTTTGTAAAATCTGATAGACAGTAGTCAGATTGATTTGATATATATATTCACTAAGAACTGTAGGAGGCATATTGTGTGCTGTGTTACATTAATATATGAGGAGAGGAGAATCTGCATTTGAATCTTGTGTTTCTCTTCATTTATGAAGAAAAATGTTTTGCATTTTAAGTACACCATGCATTATACACTTTTTTTTCTCTGAAAATGGGTAATTGTGCATAATATACAGTAACTACAGTTTGGTTATAAGTTATTGGAAGCTGTCATTAAGAGCCATTTTTGTCTCTTTATTTGTTCTTCATCCTATTGTTGAGTGTTAACATAGTTTTATTGACAACTTGCCCTCAAAATATAATTAATGCGGTTGAGTCTTCTTTTCTTTTGACCTATAACTTGCATTGTTGATCTGCAGGGCAAAAAGGTTAAAGTTCCTACATTCCTTGTCCCTGCTACCCAGAAGGTATGGAAAACATCATCACCACCATCACCATTATTGTTGTTTTTAACAAAAGAGTAAATTACGTTAGGGTTTGGTAGAACATACATCAAAATTTCATTTTCAGATGCCCCAAAGTTCCATAAATATTTCAAAATTACATTAGGAGTTGATCTTTTCTGTTTGCATGTGGGATGCCCTGAAATTCCTTAAGTATTTCAATTATTTTCGTCTTTCACATTGGTATCAAAAGAGAATGGAATTTGGCCGGCAAGCAGTGAGTCTTGCTTGTGCCTATGTAGTAGTGTTGGTGTGGAAAGTTCTACAACTTTTCTAATGGCATTTTGATCAGAGGGTGACATTGACGTACTTGTATAATTTCAAAGATGAAAATATTGCAAGTAAAAGGTCAAGGGTGAAAATGTTTTCTGAATGAAAGTTTTGAGAATTCATTGTTGGAATTTTCCTTGATTAAGATATCATTGTGTTCCAACATGGATATTAGGAAGTAAGAAGTAATTATTAGTTAATATTTCCTAATGATATTGTAAAATTTACAGGTTTGGATGGACATATATGCTCTTGTAGTGCCAGGATCTGGTGGCAAGACGTGCTCCCAGATATTTGAAGAAGCTGGTTGTGACACCCCTGCAAGTCCTAGTTGTGGTGCTTGTTTGGGTGGCCCTAAAGACACATATGCACGCATGAATGAACCTATGGCAAGTTATCTTATCCTTGTTAAGGATACCTCAAACATCATTGAATTTTATCATCTTGATGATACTATTAAATTTTGTTTGTTGAGTTCATGACCTAAATCCCAAAGATGATCTTGGTTCAAGCATATACCTTTATAAAACTGAACAAACATGCAGTCCCCTCCTAATGATTGTAACATCTAAAACATGCCCTAAAAAATTTTCCCAAGTCAATCTAGATAGGCTGTTTTAGTGATTTAATGATGCTTTCATGTTTTCTTCCTGCAACAATTAGCCATTTCAAGTTTTTTGTGATGCACTTCTGATTCTCTTTGGTTTTAAGGCATGAAACCTTGTATAGTTTGATGCATTTCTGACTCCCTTTGGTTAAAAGGATGAAAGCCTGCTGTTTATGCTTGCTCATGGTCTGATGTTGGCTACCATATGCGTATAGATTCTATAGATGTATCTTAAATTCATATTGCCAATCCTCATACATGCAGAGAATAACTATTTCCGTGTGGTTATCATGTTGATGTCCTCTGCACCTTCTGTGAAGTGATGTTGTGGTGGCTAACATTTTTGTTAATCATCTCATTACAATAATATAATTTAACACTAATTGTCTTTGCAGGTCTGTGTCTCTACCACAAATAGGAATTTCCCAGGTCGGATGGGACACAAGGAAGGTCAGGTATACCTTGCCTCCCCATACACAGCAGCAGCATCAGCTCTGACTGGTTATGTCACTGATCCAAGAGAGTTTTTGCAGTAGGAATTAAATGATCGTATATCTTATTGAGTTATTTGTATGCTTGGATGTATGACATTGGATATTAGAGACAAAAATGCTTGGATGTGTGTTGTGATTTTAATGTATGTTGGTTTTAAAGTTCAAATAATATCGAACTAGCACTATGTGCTTTTAATTAATGCATTTCAATTTCCTATTTGCAACTAAGCAAAAAAAGGTAATATCAGTAGATAAAGTGCTGAGTATTCGTATTAATAATGGTATATTTGATTTGAATGAAACGAAAGAAATGAGAAGAAAATGGAGACAAATGAAAGGATCATCCAATTCTCTCCTTTCCTTCCCACCCTTCTTCAGGTTAAATAAATAAATTATAAATTTAGGATTTTTTTCTCTTTCTTACCCTCCACTTTATTTTCTTTAATTTAAACATACTATACTATAAATGTCACTTGCTGCATTTACTATTGCTTTCACAACTTTTTTTTCACAGCCATGCAATTTATATGTGCATATTGCCATGCAATATTAAAAATGTTAATCAGTTACAATCAAGTAAGTTGTAGCTATTATTTTGTATATTTTAGTAGTTATTCCTTTTGAAAAATAATTATAACATAATCACATTACAACACAAATAATCGTAGTACCAACGCACAACCACAGTGGCAGCCACTCGATTTTGTGGGGGACAACCGCTGGGGCATTATAAGTTCGAGTCCCAGCCTCCTCTTTCCCCTACCCCTAGGATTAATGTAAATAATTGCCTTTGTTAAAAAATAAAATAAAAAAGGAGTCATGGGACCCTACAGCAATATGAAACAGGCCTTCAGACTAATAAAGTTGCAAAACATATGCTCTAAATGGTATACTGTTGATAATGATGCAGCAGAAGGGCAATAATAGTCCAAGCACTCTTCTTACTCATGAAATGTCTGAGGGCACTCAGCTTGTCATATCATACTCATACCCATCAAGAGCTTCATAGTATTGCAATGGAGCCAATATCTTTAATGGGATGCAGCTGCTAAATCTTTCCAGCTGTTGGGTTTTCTGTTGCTATTATTGCTGTTTTGCATGCATGACAAGGTTTCAGACAAATTTTGCTTTTACTGATTAACTTTCATTACTGAATTGAAAGGAAAAGGTTGATAAATGTCATCACAAAAGAAGCACGTCTTGAAGGTGAAAGATCTTCATAACTAGAAACAGATCTTTGCTTTTGCTTTTGCAGTGTATTAGAAATAGAATTTGCACGGAGGCAAGCATGAGTGTGTCCACTATACTAATTTTTTGATCCGTTCCCAGACAGAAAAGTTGGGTTCTCAAATCTCAATCAATTAAAAAGAAAGCCATTATGCTAATGGGCCAACCACTATGATTAATCAAAATCAAAATGATTGCATAATCTTGAAAACCATGTTTGCTCCGTTTTTGTTGAGCAGCATCTTGTAGCACTTAATGGTTGAGATTACACTGTATTGAACACCACAAATTCATGTTCTTTTTCTTTCTCATTTTTCCCTTCCATTTTTCCTAAGACTATTTAGTTATCTATCCTGTCCCCGGCAAAAAGGATTCTGAGAAAAAAGTTGCTTGGTTGCTGCCAAAGCTGACCCTGAATTCTGAGAAATACTTGGGAGTACATTTGACTCCTTTGTTGTGTTCTGTACTAATGGTCAAGTACGCTCTCTGGAGTGCTAGGCTAAAATACAAGCTGTCTGGCTCTTACAAAGCCATCTGCAGGTATAGCTCAGTTGGGAGAGGCTCAGACTGAAGATAGTCACGTGTTCGATCCACGCTCACCACAATTTTGATCTTTTATGCGTTTTCATATGGTGCTGATTTTGTCAAAATCCAACATGAGTACATACAACACAATAAAATGGATTGCAATCTTTATGGCAAAATAAAATGGTTTCCAAGTGGCATTCTCCTTTATAATGGAGGGTAGAGACCATCCTGAATTGTGGTAAATGAAATGACCAGCATTCATATTACATCTTTTTTCCTTTTTTTCTCTTTCAGAAAAGCCGCAAACAACATAAAAGCATCCATTCAAGTATAACATAGAAGATGAGGCCAACCAGCGAAAACAGAGAATGAGGTAATGTTTAAACATCAGAATCACACCATGCATTTTCTTCTGTCACAAAAGTAAAACAGAGCTGTTTGATTCGAGCAACACTCGTCAACAACACTCTAGATATCGACTTACTCCCATATTTACAGTATGACAAAACAACATCCTGTCGTGTTTGCATACTTGTATGATCTCACTATATAAGAGAAAAACACTAAAATGAATGTGGCCTAACAAAACCAAAAAACCACTGAGAAAAACCATTATCAGAACATCAACTTCTTTGCTATCCTTTTGCTTCTGTTTTGAAATTCGAAGTTTCTTTCATATTTCTGCAATTTAAATGTAGAGATGGGAATGATGCTCATATAGGCTTGTTTCTTTGTCTATTATTCCTGTCATGGAGTCCTGGAGCTGCAAGTAAATGATTACCTAGATTCAGAAACACAAAGTGAAGCTAAAAAAGGCAAATCAAAAACCAAGAACTCCACTTATCTTACCAAGTCCATTAGCCTCAGAGGTCCTCATGATTCGAAGTCTTCTAACTGAGCTGAGAAACATCCTGAAATACAAGTGAAAGAAAATAAGAAAGCAACATAAGCATTAAAGGCATGGCAATTGAATCAAACCGCTTGCTCTTTTTCGTGTTTGATAGTAAGCATACCCCCAAGGAACATCTCCAACAAGCATCCAGTCACCCTCTTTATCTTCGTAAGTCAGAACAAATTCTGATGAGCCATTTAAGAGTTTTGACTGCTTAGCTCCTTCTTTTTCTGCACCAGATCACAGCCAGAAAGCATAAGCTTATAATCTTAATGAGAGAGGGTGAAAAAAAGGCAAAATAGAGAAGGCAAAACATTGCAAACATACTGTTACGTAAAGGATAGGAAGGAATTTTCACTCTTTCTTTTTGTTTGTATAAGGGTATAAAGAGAAGGATAAGTTATAGCACAATATTACATTAGTCTTTTATGCATAATTAAAAGATGTTAAGTGTTAACACATTAGCACTATAAAGGGAAAATGAGTACTACTACCAACAAATTTCATGAAAACCCTTTGCTTTCCTACCTCCCTCTCAATATAGAGAATGGTAGGTGAAAACCAAAGCGGTTTAAGCAGGAAGGGTAGAGGTAGCAAGCACCCCGTCTTTCCCTTTCAGCTCCTTCCAAGTTCCAAGACCAAGGGGTTCTCTATCACAGATTTTCTTTCTTTTCCCTCTCTCCTCTCATTCCCGACATAGTGCAAATGTCAGTTAGAACTTTAGAACTAATTAGAACTGCACTCATCATCTTCATCTGACTTTTTCATTTCAATGAAAATGGAGAACAAAATCCTTCACTAGATCATGTGTGTATAAAGAATAAGATCAAAAGAAAGCTCACCAGTCAAGTTGACGGCTGAAGGGGGCCGGAAAAACATGTCTTCAAGTGCTTGGGCCAGAGTCTCATAGCAAGCATGAGCGTTCAGATCTACCTTCCTTCCTATTGTAACTCCATCCATGTTCACCTTAACAAACCCTAGATGCCCTTTTTCATTAACAGCACCACTGGTTTTGTTAACATTACAAATTTTCTTTTTCAAAGCTTCCTTGGATTTATCTTTTTCATCCACTGCCTTCTCCTCCTCTGCTCTTGGAGCCTTTAAACTGTTCATCCTATAAGCCCTGATGGGTGGCCATCCCACAACTTGACTGCTTCCACAGATACAACACACAATAATCAAAATACAGATAAATATTTTTTCCATTATGAATTTATAGTCCTCATGATACCAAGGCACCCGATTGAATAAATACGAAAAATCATCTAAATTTGCAAGGGAATATGAATTTTAACAATAAACAAACATAGCCCTTAATCAAATTCCAGGACTTGTTTAAATGTTAGTTCCATTTCTAAATTTTAAACCAACATCAAAATAGACCAGAAAAGGCAATAATTAAGGAAAAAATAGTATATAAGTCTCTATGAAAATACCTGACAGCAGTAGGAGATCCACCCTCATGTGTAACAGAGTCAGCGGCTCTCTTTGTCCCGGAGACGGGAGCAGCAGAGGAGGAACCGCCATTAGCCCTCTGAGAGACAACAGAAGGAAAATCCTGGGCGGTCAAAATCCTACCACACTCACCCCATGCAGTGCCAGTCTTAGTCTTGCCAGCCCCGCCTCCTCCACCACCACCACCACCACCAAGGCTCAGCCCCAGACCCAACTCCAACTCACTCTCAGCTGGGTATGAAGTTGCCTCAGATGATACACCTGACTCATTTGTGGAAACTCCAGACGAACCACCACCACCACCAAGCAAACACAAACCACCTTCCATGACAACAAAACCAAGAGAAGGATTCTGACAGAAGCCAAGAAAAGGTCAAGTCCTGTGGAAGAGGAAGGTTTCTGGTTATGCAGAAAGAATGGAATGAAGTATAGGAGACGGAAAAGTAGGTTGGGGGAAGGTGGTGGAGGGAGTGATGATGATGGGACCCATGTGTCTGCTAGTTAGTGCGCCTAGCACTCTATCTTTACTTGATTTTTCCTTGACATGATCATGTCTCTTTAGAATAAGGTTTTCCTTTGTTGGTACAGAAATTGAAAGTGAAAAAAGGGGAAACCAAAATTGAGAAAACAGGATTAAAGGCAACTGTAAATTTGAAGCCAAGTGCTTTTTTTTTTTTTTTTGCTCCTATTTCAATGGTTATAATCTGCTTTTGCCATTTTTGTTTTTTGATGGCAGTGTAATTAATTTCCATTTTTCAAAAAGGTTAAGGCAATAATCTAACCCATGTGGCCATGCCTATTAGTTTTTTTTTTCTTTTTTTTCTTTTTTCCATTTTGGTAAGGGTCTACCTCAATTATGATGCCCAATTATGTTAATTACACTCAAAGCTTCATGTTGGTTGGTGAATTAATTTAATCTTCTTTTAAGTTTCATAATTTGGTCCTCCAGCATGTCTTAGAGTCAGTTTGATTGAATAGTATGGCCAAATTCATCTCTTCACACTATCAAGTTACCAAACTAGACTTAATGTGAAATTTTAATGTCTCATATGTCATGACCTTAATTTTACTT